AATTATTGAGGCCAAGTGGTTAGTTCGCTAACACATCTTGCGCACCAAAATTACAATCGAAGAATTCGGAAGGCGGTAGGGGGGGTTTGGTTCTATTTTTTGTCTTTGTTGGATGGGAATTTTGTGGGTGATGTCACAAATAAATGAAATGAAATGACTCAGCAGTCTTTCTAGTGTGTGATCAACAATGAGTTATGAAATAAATGGATCATGCCGGATGATGTGTATGAAATAAATCCATGGACATCGGCATAAAGCCGACCGTGGCATAAGTTGCCGTCCGAAATGTGGAGTATAAAAGGCGGTCGTGGCATTGGTTTGGCATTAAACGATAAAAAGGTGAGACATGCAGTAGACTATAGTATGCTAGGTACGTACTTCTCCTTCTTTCCCTTGTCGACATTTACCCTCGTTATTCACTCATCTGGTATATGTAATTGATAGCATGTAGTTAGGATGGCAATTTGAACCTATTCCATCTGTTCTGACCCGATTTGGGTGAGTATTACCCAATCCGCTAAGGTGGGGAATGTGACAGTATCTTCGATCTGTCTTGTCCCGACCTCGTCTCGTTCTTGACCCATCATATTTCAATTTGTCTCAATATTTATTCATATTTCTTCAATTTTCTCTTTACTTCAATCATTTTCTTTTACCGTAGGAAACTTTAAATAAGTGTTAGGCTTGATCTTTCCACTTGTTAGATTGAATTATGTTTTCTTCGCTATTTTTCATACGTAGAATGTTCTCCCTTCATAATAATTTTTTTTTTCATTCAATTTTTTTTCAAATAACATATGAGAATGAGTCGAGTTACCTCACCTATACTCGTGTGAGTATTATCCAAGGTTCTAAAAGGCGCTAGGCGTAAGGCAGGCGCTCGGCTCCTGACTTGCGCCTTGCCTGATTAGGCGTAGCCTAGGCGCGCCTAGGCGTTCAGATCATAAATGGAAAAAGTTCTCAAATATTTCCTGTTTTCTAGAATAATTCATATAATCCAAGTGCATATAAAATTAGCAATGCCTAGTTCTCAACATTAAACACTTACCATAACAAATAACAAGCAAATAGTGACCACTTCCTAGAATCACAAGTTCATAAAATGTCGAAATACTAAACAATAGTCAATAAGTTCATAGGAAAATGTTCATTCTTCATCATCCAAGTAGGTCCGTCCAACCACCACTTCATTTTCATCATCCTCAAAAGCAATCTCCTCACCATCCTCCTCCTCTTCCTCCTCTTCAGACTCTAATTCTTCATCATGGAGCTCTCTCACTCGTGCACTCCTGCGAAGCTCACTCTGTTCACCCGCCATTGCATCTGTAACAGTACTCGAGGGTGCACAATATGATTCCTCATCCTTATCTACGAATACATATATAGCATGGTCATCCCCTTCCCATGTTTCTAATTTTCTAGGGCAAGAGGCAATTTTTGATTTTCTAGGACAAAACGAAGAGTATTGGGTTTAACCGCCTAAGCTCGCCCAGGCACGCCTTCTCTCCACTAGGCGCAAACTAAGCGCTATTCCTACCTACTAAGCGCTACCAGCGCCTTTTACAACGCCTATGGCCAAGTCAAGGCGATCCTCCACCGCCTAGCGCCTAATTGAGCCTAGGCGTGCGCCTAGGCGCGCCTTCTTGAACCCTGGTATTATCCGACCTTGCCCACGCTTGATAGTACCTATTCTCGCCCAGCCCGGCCTTTGGCATCAGTAATAGCTAGCCTCTCTCATGTTCGGCTGTTCGCAACATCTAATGCACAACTTATTCCATGGCCGGCCGGCTCTCATATTTTATGTCTGCCGACTATATATATGTATATGTTGTGTTGTAGGGTTTTAATCTGAAACTCGTCACACTCGCCTAATTTCATACATTAAAGAAAAAATAGAAACCCAAAATGTCTAAGAACCGCTTGGCAGTGGTCCGACTACTGATCGTGGCGATTACAAGCGTCTCCGTTACTTCTACAGCCTACGTTGCCGCTGCTCGCAGCTACGATCCGATGTGCACTGGTCCACCGGACGGAAGGAGCCTCACTGGCGGCCTCTATTACTACGGTTGCAACACCCAAGCCTTGCCTTGCAATTCATCGGAAGCTCAGAACCACGTGCTGAGCTCCATACAGAACAAGTTGTACAACATGTTCTCGACCAATCACTCCGGCTTGTGCGACCGGCGGGGCACTAGTTTCGAGGATCGTCGTGGTCGTCGTACTAGCAGCATTACGCTGTATAGCTACGCGTCGTGCAGGAGGGGCGATGACCGCGAGGGATGCTACGAGTGCTTGAAGGGCGCGGGGCAGATCGTACGAGACAACTGTTACGGCACGTCGGGAGTTCAGGCCTTGTCGGACAACTGTTGTGTCCGCTATGAGATGTACAGCTTCTGTTGAATTATAGGGAAAACATGTCTCAGAATATGCCGCTGGATTGAGGGTGGTCTTTTTCTTTCTGTCGGCCGGCCGATTCATTATTGCAGGTTTTGGCATTGTTCTAATACGTACGTATTGTCTTTCTATGGAACTGGGTTGGCAGATTAATGAATTACTAATGTTTCCTTAAATAGTATTTTTCAGATTGATTAGTTGTGTTAATTGCAATCTAGCTCTAGAAAACTTTGGCAAAATCCGGCGGCGGAAAAGCATGCTGAACCCACTTTTCTAGAATTCACAAAAAAAACATTACCATAAAATAAAAAATTGTGTCTAATTGTAAAGTTCGCGAAAAAATTATATATGTGATTAGTTATAATTAAGCGTCGGCAAAGATAGGTTGTACAACAGGACTGCTCACTTAGTGGCTTCTAAAGCCCTTTCATCGACAGCTCGATATTGTGTCGACTGTCGCATATGGTTTTCTAGCGTCCTGTAATATCTATTTCATTCCCGATCTATGGCTAAAAAAAAAAGTGTCGGCAAAGATTGATATAATCTAACGGTGAAATTCTTAGTGGGGTTTATTTCGAAAAGTGGCAAACCCCGTATTCGACTCGCCAAGGCCTCCTATAATGTTTCCCGGAGACATTTAATGAGAAGTTTTGCGGAGGGCTCAAACAAGTGAACCTCAAGATTTTGTCTCACTCCGTCATCACTTAAGCGGTATGTGTGGGGATGTTCACTCGTAATAACCAAAAAAAACTTGGTATAGCGCCCGGTGTTGATATTTAAGTATTAGTCAATGGCTTTTTTCTTGACTAATGTCGAGTTTTAGGAAACAAACCTGAGGATTAAAACTTAAAATCATTTCACGATGACTTTCTAGTGGGAAAAAATCAAGTTCAAATTGTAGCAAATGAGATGTGGCAGTTATGCATTTTAGGTGTACCTAATTAAGGTGCTATACACCTGATCTTTTTTTCTAATTAATCAATTGTATGTGATAAAACCAAGAATTGTTAAATCTCATCGCCAGTTGAACTGTAAAACATCTACCGCCATCCAAACTAGATGGTATACAAGTATTATGAACGCTAGGTAATACATGGCCGCTTTTGGTTGTATTCACAAGTATAATGCTAGTTGAACATATTATATTATTTTAATAATGATATTACACTGATATGTTGTTGGTTGAATCACGATTATACCACTAAAAGACAATAGTGCTAATTTATCTGGTTCGATTTTGGTACAATTTTATAAAACAAGCATACAACCATAATGCACTTCTTGGAATGGTTGTTTATAGGCATAATGTGACAAAAAAATAATAGGTATTAGAATCCTTTGGGATGATCATGCCTCTTCTTTTACTTGACAATTTACTATAGTTGGGCCCGCCCGTTGACCGGATGAATTAGATTAAGTGTATAAACACTAACAGTAATTTTGTGAAAAATTTATTTGGTACATGAAATAATCGAAATTGTCCAATAACTAAACGTATAAAAAAATCTAATCTAAATCTAATCTAAATCATTATTATATGGAGGTTCTCCTTCATTAGCCCATTAATCTCTGTTTCCCTAGCTCCTGCGCAGAGAACGGAGGGCCAATTAAGTAATAACAATAATTTAATTCACATGGGCAGTAAGTAGGGATGTCAATCCAACCCTTAATCATGGGTACCCTACCCGATCGTACCCGGTCAACGAGGGTAATTACCCGCTTTGACGGGTTAAGGGGCGGGTACGGGTAATACCCGGTTTCAAAATAAAGGGTAGGGTACGGGTATGGTAATCGATAATACCCGCCCCGTTATACCCGCCCCGCTAACCAAAGTGTCAATTTCCCTTGAGAAATTTAGTTTAGCTTGAGAAATTGAGTTTAGCTACCATTGTTGATGATGAAGATGTAGACGATTATTATGTCTGTGTGGATTGTAGAAGCAAGAACAATTATTATGTGTTTGCTGTTTTATTTGTGTGGATTGTTGAAGCTAGAACAGTTACAAATATTGAGAATTTTTAATGGACAACAGTATGTATGTGCATATATGTGTATAAGTTCATAGTTTAGGATTCGTACCCATGGTTACCCGAATATCCGTGGTTACCCGGTGGGTAGTGTATGGTTATATAATTCTCATACCCGGTGGTTATTTGATCGGATATTTTAGAAGGCTCTACCCGACGGGTTAAAAATTAGTATAGGATAAACCCGCACCCGACCATACCCATTGCCATCCCTAGACGCAATACACACTTATGGAGATCCATGAGATGAGAATGAGATGGTCTACTTGTTCTATACCAATTGCAACACAAACATTGTGGGCTGGACCTTGAAACCAGGCCGATTTTGAAGGTTAATTCGATCCAATATAGCTGCTGACTTTTTCAAGTTCTATTCCATCAAAGCCCATCATCAGATCTCCGTTCCCGGTAGCCCACCTCACATGATTCTCAACGACCCTCACAGGACGCAATTTGAATTTCAAATCGGATCCATCTATTTATTATTAATAATATAATAATAAAAATAAGATTGGATATTTATTAAATTTGCGATAGAGCGAAGAGCGCCTTTTTCCTCAAACGGTCCTTTATTCGGCTTTATTCAAAAAAAAAAAAAAAAAAAACTTAAACAAGCGAAACCCCTCCTTCCGAAGATTCAAACGCCAGCCAAAAAATATACCCATCTCCTTCCCTCCAAAGCGAGAATCGAAATTTCCCCCAGGCTAGAAAATTTTCCCCGGAAAATTCCTGCGTCGCCGTCGACATTCCACGCCTTCACCGCTGATTCAAACCCCCCGCCGCAGCTTCTCCGCCAACGATTGTTCTGTTCTCCAGGTACCTGAGAGGATCTGCTTCCTCCCTTTTGGTTGTTGCTGTTATTTACCTCGTAACGGAAGGGAAATGTGGCGAGATATTATCCACTTGGCCGATGTCAGGTTTCCCCTCCAATGTTCTTTTTGTTGTTGCTTTTTCTGGGTGTTGTATGGATTAGGCTAAAGGGTGGAGCTAAATTTAGAAACAAATTGTCGCTTGGTTAATTGGCGGGTTCTTCATTCTACGTTGTATAGGTTCGGATTTGGTAGGGATTTCATGAACTTGCCGTGTTTGGTTTAGGATTTTGAGCCCATTTTTGGAGCTGCCCAGGTTGAATTTGATGATATTTCGGGTTAGGGTAAGGACAGGAACAAGAGAGGGTGAATTAGGGCTGATTTTTCCTTTATCGATCATGAAAACTTGTTCTTAGGGTGGTACGGCTTGGCTATAGTTTGCTGTGGCGGGATTCATCAAGGGTTATGAGCTCTGGTGCTCTCTTGGGGAGCAATTGCTATGGTAGAATTGCCCAAGCCAAGAGTCTTTTTGTATTAACTATTAAGTGGGTCGACAGTTTTTTTTTATATATAAGCTTGGGCATGGTTTCTGGTGAAGTTAGTTGGTTTCTCTTTGCACAGACGACCTAAATTGTTTATGGGAAAATTTCGTCATAGTTCTATGAAGTTTGCTTCTACCCTTGGCTGATTTCCCCCTGCACTTTACCAAATTGTTCTGGAGGTTTATGCCTAATTTTGTCATTGTCCCACAAAAAAAAATGGCCACAGTGCATAGCTCCTTGCATATTTTGGGTGATTATATGTCTCGTGCGGTATAGAAGCTTATTCTGCTACATGCTAATAACTATGATGATCATAAACTAAATTGTCCATTGATTAGTTACTCATTTAGAATCGAAATGATTCTCTCTTTGTTTTGCTCGGTATCTTATGTATAGTATTTTGTTGCTTTGTTGTTGATTGGCAGTTATAGATCCACAAAATGTCAGTTGTCAAGAATGGTCCATTAGGTCAGGCGGAGACAACTTGTGGATCCCTTCTAAACGAGTTGCAGGTTTGTAAACCTTCATGATTGAATCAGTGGCCTTCTGTTCAATTTGTTGCTCTATTTATAGTATGGATACTCAAGGAATCTGTTGCTTTCCTCATTAATGCCGACTATTAGATAATCTGGGATGAAGTTGGTGAGTCTGATACCGATCGTGATAAGATGCTATATGAACTTGAACAAGAATGTCTCGAAGTATACAGAAGAAAGGTGGATCAGGCAAACCGGAATAGAGCTCAGCTTAGACAGGCAATTGCTGACTCTGAAGCTGAGCTTGCCGCAATATGTTCTGCAATGGGAGAGCGACCGGTACACATTAGACAGGTTAGAATGAAGCAACAGTGGATTCTATCTCAATCATAGCTGTATTTTTCTTTCTTCTATTTTTTTGAACAAGCTCTTCATATGCAAATTACTTTCTCGAGTATTATAGCAATGCAATTTTACATTGTTGTTTACATATTGTTGAGGTTAACTGTCCCTTTTGTTAAGTGACTTCACAGTCTTCACACTTCTCTTTTCTTGCTTTAATCATTGTTCTTATTCCTGTGTACACAATGAATAGTTGAAATCAAGATATTAAAGTGCATTTATTTATTCTTCATTTGTAATGATTGCAGGCTGATCAAAGCACTGGAAGCCTGAAGGCAGAACTTGAAACGATTCTCCCACAACTTGAGGAGATGCGCAAACGGAAGGTTGACAGAAGAAATCAGTTTCTTCAAGTTCTTGAAGAGATCCAGCAGATTTCAAATGAAATAAATGAAATAGCTGGTGGCGTTTCTGTAAATGAAAGTGACCTGTCTTTGAGGAAGCTGGAAGAGTTGCATAGAAAGCTCCATGGACTTCAAACTGAGAAGGTTGGAAGAGGAGCTTCCGTGTATTATAAAGTTCTTATATGCAATGTTATCCGGTTACTGATTCACCTTTCCCTTTGCAGAATGATCGGCTGAAGCAGGTTCAGGAGGCTTTAGATACCATAAGCTCATTTTGTGTGGTGCTTGGTATGGAGCTCAAGCAAACAATTGCTGAGATTCATCCAGAATTTGACTGTGCTGACGTGTCAAAGAGAATAAGTAATGAATCCATCAAATCTTTAGCTACTGCAATTCAAAGATTGCGAGAGTTGAAATTACAAAGAATGCAAAAGGTAATGTCACTGAGGTCTGTTTTGTATACTTCCGCCAAATGATGAACTGTGTTAGATAAAACTATATTATTTATTTTGGCAGCTACAAGATCTTGCAACTGCTATGTTGGAGCTTTGGAACTTGATGGATACCCCTATTGAAGAGCAGCAAGCATTCCAGAATGTTACATGCAATATAGCTGCTGCGGAACATGAGATAACTGAACCAAATACCCTTTCCATGGACTTCCTCAATTTTGTGAGTCTTAGAATTTACCTTTTCTGGTCTATTTTGGTTTTCTATGGTCATTTGATATTCTTGATATTTGAACACGCTCACACATGTAGGTTGCAGCAGAAGTCTCCCGGTTGGAAGAGTTGAAAGTTAGTAAGATGAGGGAGCTGGTTCTGAAAAAGAGGGCAGAGCTGGATGAAGTCTGTAAGAAGACCCATATGGTCCCCGAAGCAAATGTAGCGATAGATTGTGCCATCGAAGCCATAGAGTCTGGTAACCAGCTTGCTCCCACGTAGAGTCTCAAATACATATTATGTATTATTATTAAACTAAATGTTTGAAACATATTCAATATTCAGGACAAGTAGACCCTGGAAGTCTCTTGGAGCAGATTGAATTTCAAGTTGCTAATGTGAAGGAAGAAGCTTTTAGCAGGAAGGAAATTCTTGACAAGGTTGAGAAATGGAAAGCTGCGTGTGAGGAGGAATCCTGGCTTGAGGAATATAATAGGGTAAGTGTCAAATTGGCTCCTTTTTTTATTTTATTTGTCTTCCCTGGTTGCTCGCTTACATCAGTTTATGTTGTACAGGATGATAATAGATACAATGCTGGAAGAGGCACTCATTTGATTCTCAAGCGTGCTGAGAAAGCTCGTGCTTTAGTCACCAAAATTCCAGGTAAACAATTTTGTCAGAGCTCCTAATGTTATACCAATGCAGAACTAAGTCGTGTTGCAACACTTTTGTTAGAGTTCTTGTTGACCGTACAGTGGCAGGCAGCTACAGTTAGATATCTTCCTTCCCATTTTGTGACTTCTCTGTGCATTCTCCAGGCATGTTGGAGGGTTTGGCTTCTAAAACAATGGCATGGGAAAAGGAGAGGGGCATAGAATTCTTATATGATGGTGTAAGTTCCATGTTCCTTTATGTTCTGTATATACAAGTTAATATCTCAAATGTAATTAATTCTACCGCCTCCTTTGAGGTGCCGATGTTGATTGCTTGTGGTTAATCATTACTAATCTGTTTTCTAAATTTTTTTATTCAGATTCGCCTTCTTTCCATGCTTGAAGAGTATAGCATTCTAAAACAAGAGAAAGAGGAAGAAAAGCGTAGGCAGCGGGTATGAATCTGACTGCTTATCCCATGGAATTCTTTGCAAAAGTGTCGTCCTGAATATTGTGTATAGTGAGGCTGTGTTTTTTCAACTATCTCTGCCGTTTTATGCGTATCACTTTGAAATATTGCATTTCTTTAGGATCAAAAGAAGCTGCAGGGACAACTAATAGCAGAACAAGAGGCTCTCTATGGATCAAAACCAAGTCCGTCCAAGAACCTTAGTTTCAAAAAGGGATCTAGAGTTTCAACCGGAGGTGCAACCAATAGAAGACTTTCCGTAGGAGGAGCCATGCCACAAACTCCAAAACTCGACAAGACCCTCTCTAGCAGAACATTGTCTTGCCGGTCTGCCAAGAAGATCAACAACCACAATGACTCACTAAGTCAGTATCAGGATGATACGTTCTCTACCTTATCTGCTGGTTAGTAGTCTTGGGAAAAGTTATACTTGGTGAAAGAGTTTGATAGCTCGGATTTTATTCATTGAACATGTTTTTATTTTTCCTTCCCCCTTGCTGAAGATGATATTAGTGAAACCGACTACTAACGGCTCACCAATCTTCATCGGGTTCAGCATAAATATTCAACTGGGTTCTTCATTCGCAGTTTTCTCGGTATTGAAGTAGGTCCTCTCCTTGTAAAACTTTATTTCGTTCAAATGGCCTGTTCTTTGCAAATCAACATTTTGAAAGCCGTAAGTCTAAACAATAGTGATGTGATGGTAAGAGTTAATTTACTAAGTTAGGCATGCATTGTTGATTGTTTTATTTGTTTTACCTTGTAGACCATATCAGTTAAGATTAGTTTTGCTTCAAAATGTTCTTTGCAGGTAGGAGAGGTCTGGATATAGCTGGTCTGCCCATGAAAGCTCAGTCATTTGGCACCGCAAACGGCCGAGAACCAGATTCTGCAATGCTGCTGCGGAAGCCATTCTCGCCCATCTCTTCCACAACATCATCCAAAGCTAATTATGTAGAAGAGCCAGTCAGAGTAGCCCACGGGGAAAGTGCATTCAAGAAGAATGACCAGTTGTTCATGACTCCTCCAAAGACCACTGCCACCACCGCTGCTTACCTTGCTGAGGAAGAAAACAGAACTCCTAGGCTACTGCCAGTGTCTGCCATGACACCCTCCACAGTGTCAGTACCGATGCAGACAGCCATGACTCCAGCAGCTCCAGTTCATTTTGGTGGTTTCAAGTCAGCGGGTGAAGAGGCGGTTGCTGAAGAAATTGAGTACTCATTTGAAGAGAGAAGAGCTGGGTTTGCTCTTCCTCACACTGCACACGTGAAGTCACTGATTCAAGTTTGATGTAAGATAAGTTTTCTCCTTTATTAGGTCATTCATTTTAGGTGGGCTTTTGAGGTAGTGAAGGCTTCTTTTGGCTTTCATAGCCTTGCTTGGAGTGCAAGTGAAGATTGTAATTGGTTTCTGGATAGTGTATATTAGTCCATGACAACTGTGGACGAGGACCAGACTCTGTGGGCTGTGGAAATGCGAGTTTACTTCAATGCTTGTTGAATCTGTTGTTTCAAGTAGAGAATTAAGAGATGCAGTTTCTTGGGTTTATGGATTTTGAATTTCTGCAGAAATTATATCTTTTAGCAGCTAACTTGAGCTGGAAGTCACAGATTCTAAAGATAAAGGTTGCAGGGATTGATTGTATGTTCCTGTCCAGAATCAAACTGAATTAACATAGGATCAAATAAGAATCCATTTCAATACAATCTATTTTTTCTTTCTATTTGAAGAAGAGAAATGTCATGGAAAAATGAGAAAAAGTTTTTGCATTTTAGAGTCAGAACTAAACCGAAACACAGTTCATCGTGTCTGATACAATTCCAATAGTACTGATTTGATTGTCTTCAATCTGATATGAACCAAACCGTTGCCCACCCACCGTTACTTACAGCATTCCTTTCATGGCCCAAACAAATTTAAGACATGGCTTCGACCACAGCCAAACGGAATTCAACAAGCAAAAACCAAATGGTAATTTACCCATCAGTTCCTCGAAGAACTTGATTCTGCAACATCCACATCTTCAATCACCAGCCTTTCACCAATCTCATATTCTTCTTCTTCAACCATCGTCTTCCCTTTATCATCCCCACCACCACCAACCCCTCTACTCAGCCTCTCCACCCACACTCCATACTCGACTGGATAATTCGTTCCCGCCACACCATCTACATAGTCAGCAAACGCCTTGAGTATCGGCGACACTTCTCCCAGCTGCTGCTGAATCAATCTCTTCCCCCAGCTTCTTTCCCTCCACGCTAATGCCGACTCGATCGAGTCATGCTGCTGCTGATGCATAATGCTGCTGCCAGTGATGAACAACAGCAAATAGATGAGGCTCTCAGCATCTGAGGATGGACAGAGCTTCCCGTGCTGAAGTGCATAGGATGAAGAGAACTGTAAGTTGATGGCCGCGCTGTCTCGTTCTTCCAGAACTGCACGACCCCATGAGGTTAAGACGTAGGAAGAGGACGTCGTTGTTGTGGAATGAGGAAGGATGCGGCGGACTATGTTCTCCGGGCATATGTCTGCATGCTGGACGTTGGCAGCTGCAGCACTCTTCAACCCTGCAAACCAGGAGAAAAAAAACTGTTTTAAGGATATTGAAACAAAACGATTATGGTTTGCCAGTTCGGTTTCTTGCCAAGCCAAAAAAACTAAACCAGTTAGCCACCCCTTACCTGCAAGGCAATCTCTGCAGCATCGAATCGCCTCCGTAGATGACAATGGCCCATCCCGGGCTACAATGAAGGATAGAGGCTGCCCTACAGGACATGTCACGAGTATAGGGGTCCCGCAGAAGGGATCGTTGCACCTTCCACTGGGGCTCTGTCTAGTGCATTGTCCTGAATGGAAGAGTCTTCCGCAAGCAACCATTTCCGGAAGGCATTTGCTCGAAGAAGAAGATCCCTTCAGAATGTTCAACACTTTGGTTTGTCTCTGGACTTGATACCACAAGCTCATGTCTTCCCACGAGGGCTCGAGTCTCGAGGTGTGGGCCCCAACAGATAGAGCCAACAGCTGAGATGGACAAGCCAGGTCGATAGCACTGGAGAGAAAGGAATTCCCTCCAACAGAACATTCCTGGATTTGGAAGCTCTTCCTTCTTCCATCGAGCTGGTCATCTATCGTCAGCAGTGTTCCGGGTTGAAGCTTCAATCTCGAAGCTTGTTTCTTATTAGGTTCCTGAAGATGATTTCTTGCCTCTATGATCTCTCCTTCATGTGGAGTGCTCCCATTTCTGATGATGCGGCGCTCCATCCTTCGATTCTGAAGCCGAAGCCCATGTTGAGAGGCTAGCGTAGCAATGGACTTCTTTGGCGAGCCATTCATTTCCACCATGGAGTAAAAAGTCGCCAGCATTACTTGCAGAGTACCTATGTCCCCCCAGTTTGCATTGCCTAGCTTGTTCCACACCTGGTCAACTGGAGAGACTCTGACCTCAGCATGACGTTTGATCCAGTCTATGACACATTCATAAGGATCACTGATAGAGTTCAGCTCGAGCTTCCAAATATCACCTTCTATCTTCACCACGCCACCAAATGTCGAGTCACAAACCAAAACGAAAACCGAATTCCTGCCAGCTGTACAGAGAATATGAACACCAAAGAAGAGGGCTTCGCATATGATTCGGGTGGATAGTTTGAGCTCATTTTCAGACAGAATGTTCGGTCTAACCAACGCAAACTGAACCACTCGGTCCCACTGATGACGAGTCTCGACGTTTGAAACTATAGCTAAGCCCTGAACCTCTTGGAGTCTTCCTCTTGAAGCTACTTTCTCTAACGTATAGAACTTTGATCCGATCCTGCGTGGACAAGCTAGACTAAATGGAAGCGGTTTACTACTTCTGTGCCAAAATGTGCGCCACAAGCCATTCATTACAGCATGGAGAAAGTCCTCCATTGCTAAGTACTGCCCTTCTGTGGTGCCTGATGGATATGAAGAAGAACTTGGCATCCGGCATAGCTGCTGAAAGGGGACTCCTTCCAATGCTAAATCGAGGTTCAGTACTTCGTCGATTGAGAAGGGAGAGCTGAAAGACTCGTCATTTTCAGAGACCCAATTCTCGAACCTGTGTGTGAATAAGTCAAGGCTGGTAAGGCTTCTAGCCCAATCCTTCAGTGACTTGGAATGTCTTCTGGAAGTAGAGACTTGTTTGGTTGCAGTAGAAAGATCCGATAAACTTCTTCCAGACATAACTGCAGGAAATGGAGTATGAAAGTGAAATGAAAGTAAAATGAAGAAGTGATGAAAGGAGTTAAGTATGATGAGGAATTGTAGTCACAAACCAGATCCAGGCATCCTGAAACTTCCATCCAAACTGGGCGAGGAGTGCAAGTCATATTGTGAAAGACCTAAGATAGTGATAAGTAGATATAAGATATGCTAGAACTAGTGTGGAGCTCAATACTAAACTGATGAATCAAGCATCTTCAGTATTGTGTAAAGACTATGGAGTAGAGATGTGAAGTGCTTGTCTACAGAATTATTCTCCTCTGGCATTCATAATCTCTAGTGATACATACATAAGCAACGCTCAAATGTCAGATAATCCAAGAGCAAACCTGATCTGGTCATTCTAAAACTTCCATTCAAGCTTTGGCTTGGTGAAACTCCTGCATCATTTTCTTCAAAGCCTGCATCAACACCATTCATTAGTTCATAAACTTATGCTCTTAGGAAAGTTTGGAAATCCTGGCAAAGGAAAGAACTTGAGCAAATTCACTTAGAAACGGCAAGGCCAAATGGCCCTGAATCTTCCATGATATTCGAAGTTCCTGACTTGTACTTTATCCTGAAACTTCACCACTTCACATTTTCTTAGTGACCAACCAAAATGTAACTATAAGGAAGTAATGCAAGTCCCCTATCCCCAATCATCTTTGAACCCAAATGCACCAACTGAATACTCTCAACTCGCCAGCATCAAACCTTAAAACTAAGTAACCAGCAAACTCTTGCATCCTCCCAACTTCCATATCCAGCCTTCTCTTACTAACCATAGTCAAAATCTACAGATTGAAGTGTGACCCATCTAAGAATTTCAACTGGCAAAGCAATCAATGTACAAAAGCTAGGACACAAGGCTACATAGACATAGGCAATCTAACATCACTAGATGCCTGCCTTACAATAATCTTACTTCACATTCAACTTTCTGGGTATTGCTTAAAAGACCACATTTTTATCAACATCCATAACCTCGACATTACCAAGGATAGCCATTTCAAAGTCTGCAAAAACGAAGTAAGACAGGAGAAATCTATCTCACTTACCCATTAGTTTAAATGGCGACGAGATGGGATCCTGATAGAAGAGCAAGCAAGACGTTTTAAGAGCCCAAAAATGGGTTTGGGAAATCCAGACTTCACCGCGGCATGCTCAGATTCAAAACAATATGGCAATGGCGGCATGTTTGTCTGCGGAAGAGAGACATTTTCATTGGGCGTTGGGAAGAAAGCGCCAAGGGTGAAAAGGAGTTGCAGAAGAATGAGAAGAAGAAGAAGAAGAAGACGACGACGAAGGAAATGGGCTTTGTATAAAGCGATTCGTTAATTAACTTCTCACTCCCAGTCCTCTTCAAGATTAAGCCTTTTCGAAATTATGGCAGAAATAATGAAGGGGGAGGGAATGATTGTATTTATTTTTTATCGGAAAAGGAGAAAAAAAAAAACACCGGGAAGATTGAAATTTACTCAACTTTTTTTCTTTTTTTTTTGACAAAGAAATTTACTCAACTTGAAGACCTCCATTTGACCATTTTGTGTCAGCTTACAGGTCTCACTCTCAGACCTTTTCCACCTTTTGCATGTTTTGTCTCCTGCATCTTGTACTCATGCTAAGAGTCAATGATGATAGTTAGTGACAAGAGGTAGTTGGATCTTGGATTATAGTTTGAGGGATGGATGAAATGTAAGTTAAATCGATCATTTGATAGGTCATTATAGATACGAAAGCTCATGTAGTCTGTTCAGTGGTGGAGTTACATAAAATACGGTTGTAGTCGCTATAAATATTTAATTTTAGTTTGTAATACGCGGATAGACAACACAATACACATTGAATTATCAAGGACACAAGGCTACATTGACATTGGTTTTTCTTTCAATTCTAGCCTCTCTCACTCTAAATCTTTCTTTTCTCACTGATACTATTATTTAGCCATGTTTTTATCATGCAAGTTTCATATTATATATGAAAGGAAGTTAATTTGTGACTTTTTTTTTTACCAATGTTATTAGGTGATTTAGATTATTACAAATGTTAATATGTTATTTTGGATGATAAAGGTAATTGAATTTGAGTTGGCAAAATATGATAAAAAAAAAAAGAACAAGACTAGACTAATAACTAATAAGGCCCACCACCACCCGGCCCCAACCCACCGGGCCACCATTAAATCAAAGTCCAGAACAAACAGTGATGTTTTCCCTTCTATGATTGGTTCTTTTCCTTGTGCACACAAAAAGTTAACAAGGCAAGGATTCATTTTTTTATTAGTGTTCAATTTTATGTTGCCTTTTTCATTTTCAGTCCTCATTTTTTAAAAGGCTTAATTGCAAGGTTGGTCACTCGAATTGCTACAAAATTTCACGTTTGTCACTCAAATTAATTTATTCCATTTATAGTCACTTAAATTAGGTTAACAGTCCAAGTTTGATCACTGGCCGTTAGTCTCCGTTAACTTTTGCTGATGTGGCGGTCAACTCTTATAGTTGATCGTTAAATGAGTGACGTGGCGATTAAAAAATAATATAATAATTTAATTTAATTATTTTTTATTTTCCACCTAATTATTATAAAAATAAAAATAAAAACCTAATTCCTTTTAATTGTTATTTTCAGGGCCGGCCTAGAGGGTGTGCTGGCCCGCCCTCCGGCACAGGGCCTCCGAATATTAGGGGCCTCCACTTAGATCCGTTAGTTATCGATCGTACATTGTAGATTGTATTTTTAGTATATGATTGATTGATTATGAGTATGATGACGATTTTAATAGATAATTTTAGCTATAATAACAATTAAAAATGATATCATGAAGACTACGAAAATAAGAAAGATAATAGATAATTTTATGGGTAACGTCTATTTTTTATCCAGACCTTTTCAGATTCTTTTATAATATCCAAACCTATCGAAATATTAAAAATTAGCCGAATGTTAACTTTCGGTTAGCATTTTTGTTAGTAATATTGTCTTGACAACATGATACTGACTTGGAAGAGACACATGAAGGTCAAGATTCCAAAATTTTAGTATTTTAACTAAGAAAAGAGTTACAGAATTATTAACAATAACGTAAAAATGACTAATATTTTGGTGCATTATGAAAGATTTGGCTAATTAATAAATTTTTAATAGGTTTGGATAATATAAAAGAATCTGAAAAAATGTTTAGATAAAAAATAGACATTACCCTAATTTATTTTAAACTATGTAGAAAGATATTACAGTCATTTTAGTTTTATTATAATTAAAAGTCAATTTAGACCACGTCTCAATTTTGGAACAAGGCCCCCACGAAGCATTAGACAACCCTGGGAATTTGGTTTTGGTTTCTTCGTCAAACTAGAAACGTGATCATTTATTTCTTTTGTAATAATTTTCTGAGACTATGTATTTTTTTATAATTATTTAATAATTTTTATTTTTAATAAATTTGTGGAGAAAAATTTTAGGGCCACATTTTAAATTTTGGAACAGGGCCTCCGAATATCATGGGACGGCCCTGGTTATTTTCCACCGCTGATGAGCTGCGTCGTCTTCGGCTCCTTCGTCGTCTGGTACCTCACGGCGTTCTCGATCTCCTGCTTCAAGGCGCTGACCCTGGTCATCAATAAAGGGCTGAGCCGCTCCGGTAACTAACCCCACTCCCCGCACTAATCCCCCCACTAATTAATCACGTAACAGCCGAAATTTGAAATGAAAATAAAAGCTCTCTGCAACTTTCCTTTGTGGCAGAGTTCCCTTTCCCCAAATTGCAGAGTTTATTTCTGATCACGAACAGCACTCTAAAATCACAGATGGAGTGCTCCGATTATGAAGAAGACATACTAAGCTACCTCCCAGACAACGTTCGCGACCAGGGAGTGGGGTTAGTTACCGGAGCGGCTCAGCCCTTTATTGATGACCAGGGTCAGCGCCTTGAAGCAGGAGATCGAGAACGCCGCGAGGTACCAGACGACGAAGGAGCCGAAGACGACGCAGCTCATCAGCGGTGGAAAATAACAATTAAAAGGAATTAGGTTTTTATTTTTATTTTTATAATAATTAGGTGGAAAATAAAAAAATAATTAAATTAAATTATTTTATTATTTTTTAATCGCCACGTCACTCATTTAACGGTCAACTATAAGAGTTGACCGCCACATCAGCAAAAATTAACGGAGACTAACGACCAGTGACCAAACTTGGACTCTTAACCTAATTTAAGTGACTATAAATGGAATAAATTAATTTGAGTGACAAACGTGAAATTTTGTAGCAATTCGAGTGACCAAACGTGAAATTTTGTAGCAATTCGAGTGACCAAACTTGCAATTAAGCCTTTTTTAAAATCTCAATGCATTGATGCTGCCCCAGTACCATGCCTGCCTGACACTGACAGCTCTGTTTTGGAAGTTGGTGCCAATTTTTGTAAGACACGTAAATTCGTATACTACCAAATACCAATGGTCAATACTCAATAGACCTGGACAGTAATGAATTTGGGCCATTCGGGAAGCCCAGTAGGCCTGAATGGATCGATAAAAAGCTCAATACAAAGTGGGCCTCTTGACCCGTTTGAAAGGAGAAGGGAAATAGGAAAGCGGGACTCGGTCCGAGACCAGGCGATCGTCCGTCAGCTCAGGCAGGCCTAGCTGATTTTCAGTTCAGTTTGAAGAATTCGTCCCGTCCGGTCAAGTCGGAAACTTCTCGTCAAAGAAGAGAACAATGGATAAGAAGAAAGCATTTTACAGAGCTAAGTTGAATGCTCAGAAGAAGGACAAACGAATCGATTCTCCTCTTGTCAGGTAAGAACCCTCGCCCATCCTACTCTCCCGAAAATCTATTCAGCTTTCGCTCTCGGGGGAAATCGGATACCCTAATAGTGGTTGCTTGCTGCTATGGAGTGCCGGCGAAGATTATGAGTTGCTGCTAGTTTTCGAGTAGTTTATCGTAAATTGGAAAAATTATGTGCCCTGAATGGTTGAATTACCTGTTTAGCTGTTTGTTTTGGATCGCGGCCAATGCTCCACTAGTGAATTTGATGCTTTGGCGATCCTTCTTTTTTTTTTTTTTTTCTTCTTCTTTTCCTCTAACTCGAAATTTCATAAGAGAAGAAAAAAGAAGGGGTGAGTACAGTTTACAGTGTTGCTTGTGCTCGTCCTATTGGTTTCGTTGCGCAACCTGGTGCTTGCTTATAGCTTTGTTCGTTTGCTCGCTTGCGCAGGTATAATGAATCCGATCAACCAGTTTGTAGGGTTTGCAATCTTGTTTTGAAGGAGTCTCAATGGGATGCACATCAAGCTTCTCGAAAACATCGTGAGGTCATATCTCAGTTTCCCCTTTGATCCTGCATTTTATTCTGCTGGTGTATGGTTTTGGTTTACTGTGATTAGGATTGTTAAGAAAGTTTTGGTGGCTTTGATCTATAGGCATCAGCATGAAATGATTGCCAACCTAAGGATCATCAGAGCATAGTATGCTAATTGTCTCGCTTTTCTTACTCAAATTGATTAAGTGGAATGTGATGGAACAGGCAATAGATAATCTCAAAGCTAATGCAGCTCGAAAGACCGATGCAACCAACTCAAAGCATATACCTCGCATTGAATCAACCGGAACTGTGTCCACAAACAATGCAGAGCTGCATGCTGAGCCACCAACAAAAGTGTCAAAGCCACAGTCAGCATCTGCACTCCCTCCAGGCTTTTTTGACAATCATGGGACAAAGGCACAAAAGACAGGTATTGTACTTAATTACAGACTTAAATACTGAAAAGTTGAGGAGTGAGGGAATTGGAGATATTGCCTTGCCTGGTTGTCTGAAACATCCTACGGTTCCCGTCTATAACAAAATTCAATTGATGTCTTCTAGTTCTTGTATGAATGCAAGGAAGAGGATACTGCTTGTACTAGACTTTGCGATCTGTTCTCTAACTCTGAACCAGTCCTACTGAAGAACTTTAAGCTATCTGTTGGACCTAATTTTTCATCTATGAACTTCAGTATCGTATTTACCTGATTTTGAAGACGGGCTGTCATTTTCTCTGATTTTAATAAGTCTTTTGTTCTGTGTGACTTAAACAAACCCAAAACTCATTTACAGGTGGAAACTCTGTCAAATTTGTGGGTTCGGATCCACCAACAAAGTTGGGTGGCTCTCTCAAACCTAAGAAAGTTGAGTCCCTTGTGGAAGATAAATCAGAAGCATTAACTAGTGTTAGTGATTCGCAACAGCGAACTACTGAGGATGGTAGGACTTCTGTACAGACGCAAACAAATGCTACTGGTACAGATATCAAGCAGGTAAAGGGGTCTCTTCCTGAAGGTTTCTTTGACAACAAGGAAGCTGATTTACATGCTCGTGGAATAAAGCTTGTCAAGCCTGATG